TGGGTGTCTGGAATTCACTTCCAAGACTGTGAGGAAGGTGGTCGGCATTCCAGCACAGCGTCACCTGCCACAGCCTCCTCCTTCCCCAGCAGGTGACCCCTTCCCCCTTGAACCTGAGATGAAGGTGTTTGCTATGATCTCACCTCCATGTTACTGACAAGGTCTCCATTCCCCTGGCTGTGCTGAGCCTCTGTGGCCATGGGTGTCCTCTGAGCTCTCATGCAAATGGTGAAGCCAAGCCTGGACTGCACGTGGACCATGGTAAGGCCCCAGAGGACACAGTCCTATTTGCTGCTTTGAGGCTGATCTTTGCTTATTTGACCACCAGGGTTACCCTGAGGCTGCAAGTGTGGAAGTAATGTCCAGGTGGGTCCGTGCCACCCTCCCTCCAGCCACAGACTTGTGTTATGTGAGGCTCAGAGTGAGAAGGGTCCTGAAGGAGCAGCTTTGTGGTGATTGGCTGACAATACTCTCAACATGCCTCCTCTGAGCCTTCTGGAATATTTGCCAGCAACATGACTGAGGCCTACACAGTGCGGCGGAGGGCACGGTCCTCTGGGCCCCTCAGCTGCTGAAATGGAGTCAACTGTGGTGTTTCTACCCATAAGCGAAACAGGTGCATGGCTGACTATCTGCGCGGCTAAAATACATCATTTCCAACTTTTTTTTTTTTGAGATGGAGTTTCCCTCTTATTCCCCAGGCTGGAGTGCAATGGCACAGTCTCAGCTCACTACAACCTCTGCCTCCCAGGTCCAAGCAATTCTCCTGCCTCAGCCTCCCAAATAGCTGGGATTACAAGCACGCACCACCACGCCCAGCTAATTTTGTATTTTTAGTAGAGACGGGGTTTCACCATGCTGGTCAGGCTGGTCTCGAAACTCCTGAGGTCAGGTGATCCACCCGCCTCGGCCTCCCAAACTGCTGGGATTACAGGTATTAGGCACCCCACCCGGCTTATCATTTCCAACTCTTACAATGGCTTTTGAAGAGAGCTGTTATTATCCCCACTTTGCCAAGGAAGAAACTGAGGCTCAGAGAAGTCATATGACTTGCCTGCATGCAAGCTAAATGTGGTTTCAGAACTCAAAGGCAGGTGGTCCCGGGGGGTGGGGGTGGGCAGGCCCGAGCTCTGTGCTAGGGCAGGTGCTCTTTTGGCCCCAAGTTCTTGCCGTTGCAGGCAGCACTGATTGAGGAAAGTGAGTGGGAGGTAATAGACCATAGTAGTTTCACAGCAGCAAATGACTGTCACGGTAAGGAAAAGCTTGTTCCTTGCCTGCTTATTTATTTATTTATTTAACTACCACTCACCACAACAGAAACTGGTTATCTGCAGGTGCACAGCTATTCTAAGAGAGTGAACGGGTGTGCAGCTTCCTATTAGAGCTCCGAGGATCAGTCAGAGCCCTCCCGGCCTGGCCCCCCCAAGGCCAACCTATGGCCTTCCAGGGCCCTTTCCCTTCCTGTCCAAATGGGGCCAAACCAAGCAGGTGGTGCACTTTTTTTTTTTTTTAAAAGACAGAGTCTCGCTCTGTTGCCTCAACCTCCCCAGTAGCTGAGACTACAGGCACCCACCACCACACCCGGCTAATTTTCGTATTTTTAGTAGAGATGGGGTTTCACCATGTTGGCCAAGCTGGTCTCAAACTCCTGACCTCAGATGATCCACCCACCTGGGCCTCCCAAAGTGCTGGGATTAAAGGTATGAGCCATCGAGCCCGGCTCTGATAGACTCTTTTTTAAAATTCTCAAAAATGTCTGGGCATGGTGGCTCACACCCGTAATCCCAGCACTTTGGGAGGCCGAGGTGGGTGAATCACCTGTGGTCAGGAGTTCAAGACCAGCCAGGCCAACATGGTGAAACCCCGTCTTTACTAAAAATACAGAAATTAGCTGGGTGTCATGGCACATGCCTATAGTCCCAGCTACTTGGGAGGCTGAGGCAGGAGAATCGCTTGAACCAGGGAGGCAGAGGTTGCAGTGAGCCGAGATCACGCCACTGCACTCTAGCCTGGGCAACAGGGGAAGACTCTGCTTCAAAAAACAACAAAAAATTATCAAATGAATTTATTATCAGCTGTAGCACAACCCAGGAAGGGGCATACAACACATATGGCAGTTTAACAGATCACTGTGAAGCAGACACCTGGAAATCGAGTGGTGACAGGGCCTTGCCAACATCCCAGAAGCCGGAAGTGTGCAGTTCCACACCATCCCGGCCTCGCTGCCCACCACTGAGGATGTCAGGGAGCATTTGCCCCAGAGCTCAGGTGAGAGGTCTGGGGATCCAGAGCTGGTGTCTGCAAGACAAGGCAGGTGTGAGAAGCTGTGGGTGCACATGCTCAGTGTCACCTGATATTTGGGTCCATATATATGGATATTAGTCCTTGGTTCCTTATGCATTAACCGACACCCTTCCTTCACCCTCTTCCTACAGTGAGGTCTACCTCTCACATCCAGAGGGAGGTTGAAGTTAGGCCAGGCAGAGGCGTGCTACAATATACCTTGTAAGGACATTAGAACCTGGATGGAAATGTAATGGGAATGAAGGAAAGTGTGTGACCGGAAGGCCCCTGGAGAAGAGAGCAGATGCTCAGAGGAAGGATCTGCTTGAGTTTCCCTTCAGCTGTGACAGAAATCTGAAAACCAGTGCCTTCAACAACTAAGAGGGTTGTTTTTTCATGTCACAGAAGTCTACGCCTGTTGTGACTCAAAGTTGCCATCGAGAACCCAGTCTCTTTCTGCCTTCCTGGGCTGCTGTCTGAAGCAGGTGGCTGTCGGCCGAAGTTTACTGCCTTGTGGATGCAAGGTGGTTGCTGCAGTGCCAGCCTTTCATCTGCATCAAGGCAGGAAGAGGGAGGGCAAAGGACTCAACGCAGAGCCGGTTGGGTTGAGTCTCTCCCCTTTTAGGAGCCTGCCTTGGATCCTCTTGCAGTGATGTCCACTTATGTCTCATTTGCCAGAACTCGGTCCCTGGCCACCCTGCACTGTAGGGGAGCCTGGAAAATCACCTTAAACAGAGCTGGTCACACCAATACCCTGAGAACAGACATTGAGAAGGAAACTAGTAGCTTTTCCTCAAAGAAATAATTTGCAGCGGGGACAATGAGACATCCCTCCCCCAAGCTGCTTTCTAAGGATGGTGGGCCCAGGAGGGTTCAGAGCCCTTGCTGCATGGGGTGAAACTTGGGGTCAGAGCTGAGTTGCTGAGGACTAAGAAGAGGCTGAGCTGCGTCTCCTGTGGTGCCCTTCCCAGCCCTTCACACAGCTTGCAGCTTCTCCTTGAAATAAAAGCTGAACCCATATTTTAAAGTGTTCTGTTTTTCCCACCAATGATGTATCTGCTTGTAAATATGTTAAGAAAGGCTGGGCAGACAAGCTAAGTGGTGAGATGTTGGTGGGGACTCAGGTGCACACAACCCTGAGGGCAGCCCAGAGCTGTGTCCTTATGGGCTAGGGCTTCACCGTATTGGTCAGGCTGGTCTTAAATTGCTGACCTCAGGTGATCCGCCTGCCTTGGCCTCCCAAAGTGCTGGGATTGCAGGCGTGAGCCAGTGTGCCTGGCCCTATCTTCCTTTTAGACTTGTAAGAGATCTCTACATATTACAGATATCAATATGTACCTAGTATAGCAACTGAAAGGGGCACCAAATGATTGTGTCAACATTCCAGGTTGAGGTTTCATTCAGGGGTGGGGTCCTGTGCTCTGCAGGAGGACGAAGTCCCAGCCCAAAAGCCCCTCTGGTGGAGGCCAGACTCCTCCTAACCACACACACATAGGAATCACTCTTAGATTTACAGTCAGAATTAGAGACGTTGAGACATTTTAAAAACAGGAGCGTGTCAGTTGAAATATAAATTTCCACCTTCCTTCAACAAATCAGGATCCCCCAGTCCCACAGCAGCTGCCCTCTGCAGCAACAGCCTCCCTTACACAGGAATACGCTTCCAGTTCAGCCCAGTTCCCATCACCCCAAGACTAGGTCCCCAACACTCACTTCCCCCTTGCACTGTTGGCTCTCTTATCCCCAACATATTTTGCACGTTCCTGTTCCTGGAATTTGAGTTTGCAACACTGATCTAGAGCAAAGCCTTCCATTTATATACAGGCAACGGGGAATGGTAGAGGTTCTTGCCCAAGGGCACACAGCCTATGATGGTACAGCCAGGCCTTTAGTGGGTCTCCTCGGACCTAGTCTCTCCTGGAGATGAACTAACACTGCAGATCCCAGGGACTGCAGAGCCTGGGGGAGAAAGGGGATGTAACTTGAGTTGGGGTCACTTGGTTGCATCTGAATTTGCTGGTATTGGGCTGTAGCAGTGGAACTCCTGGCCTGGCAGGGAGATGCCTAGTTGTCTCGGCATGGTGGCCCCCTCACCCCATGCCCTGTTCCCACGGGGAGAGAGGAAGCCACAGTGGTTGAGGTGAAAACCAGAGGTTGTGCAGCCCTGGCAGACAGAAGCAACCACGGGCAGCTGCAGCAGGCTGGTGCCTGGCCCACAGGCACCCTCCACACCCTTTCTGCAAACATTGCTGCCATGTGCAGAATTTCGGAAACGTGCAAAGCCTGAGAGTGGGTGCTCAGGAGCCCTCCCTGGTGTGTGCGGGCGGCCCTCGGAGACCCAACCCAAACCCCAACCATGGACATCAGGCAGCTGAGGGTTAAAAAAAAAAAAGTTATTGATGCACAGATGGCTGTGGTTTGAGTAGAGGAGTAGGAGGAGGGAAATGGAGCCTTCCTTGTCTTGCTCCAGGCTTTGGTTGAGACATAGGCCCTGCCCTGGGAGGAGGGGGCGGCAATGAGGCACACAGGCTGGTGGCCAGGCGGCAAAGCAGCAAGCCTGACCCTTGGTGGTCTGCCCGCTGCCCTACCTGTGTCCTCCCCACCGGCTCCTCCTCTCCTCTTGTTTCAGGGAGTTCTCTCCTCCTCTGTCTCCCCTCACTGCAGGCTCATGTCCTATTTACCCTGTGGGATCTCTCCTGTCCAGGGATGACCAAGAGATGGGTCTGGAATGTCAGGAGAGCCAGAATGCAAACAGAGACGAGTTCAGACCTGCCCCCACGATCAACCCACCACCGTCGGGCAAATCTCCCCTGCAACCATCGTGTGGTTCTCCGTAGAATGAGGGGCTCGGCCTAAATGAACTTGAGGCCCCTCATCCAGGCATAATAGGCCCCATAATAGGCACTGGACCTGCAGGCCTGATACTAGATGCGGCTGCCTGAGCCTGGCCTGAAGTCTAAGAGCCTTCTGGCCAGAGCCCACCTCCCTCCGTCTCCTCTTCTAAGCTGCCCCTTGAACTATGCAGACTTCTTCCCAGGATAGTTCTAGCAAACTTTCTGCTCCAGCTTCCTAGCCTGGGTGTGAGAGGCGGCCTAAGGGCGTGACCACAGCACCCAGGCTCAAGGGCTGACCCTAATACTCTCTTTGTGACCCAGGCCAGGTCAAGGCTCTTTCCTGACCCTGAGTTTCCATCACCAGGGACAGAGATGAGCGACCTGTCCTGCCTCCTGGACTCAGGCAATATCCACCCTTCATTCCTCATGGATTTATGGAGCAGTGGCCACATCAGCCACTTTACCAGCTCCTGCAAGAACAATAATAATAGAAGCAAAACAGTAACAGAAGCACAGTTTGAAGTAGAGTGAAGTTAGGACCCGCTGGTGTGGGTGAGCAGAGGGTGTGTTAGAGAGGACGGGGAGGAAAGGTGTCTCTGAGGAGGTGATGTGTGAGCAGAATTGTGCCAGGAACCATCGCTGAGCTGACCTGGGAGAGGACAGTCCAGGCACAAAAAGGACCGTGCAGAGGCCCTGAGGCACTGTTCAGGGATTGGGAAGAAGGCCTGTGTGATTGGGGCAAAGTGGGAACAGGTCCAGGGAGAGCGGGGCTCCAAGCAAGAGGGTCTGGGCTTGGGCTCCAGTGGTAGGACTAGGGACAGGATAAAACCCCAAACCCTTTCCCCAGGTGAGGGGATGTGGATGAACAAAGTGGCTCAGGACCGGGCTGAGCAAGCAGTAGCACTGATTCCTCCTGAGACGGAGGCCTGGCTCAGGAGCTCAGGGAAAGAGAGAGCCCAGCAGGCAGTGAACATCTACCCGATGGTGCCAGAGGTAGTGCAGGCAGCCCAGGGGAGACAGGACAGCCTGGGGTTTCCTGGGGAGGCTGGGGAGCCTTCCTGGAGGAGGCCAGGCGTTAGAAGTAGATGCTGCCCTTCTGACCTCAGAAGTTCTTTTTTTTTTTTTTTTTTTTTTTTTGAGACGGAGTCTCGCTCTGTCGCCCAGGCTGGAGTGCAGTGGCGCGATCTCGGCTCACTGCAAGCTCCGCCTCCTCGGTTCACGCCATTCTCCTGCCTCAGCCTCCCGAGTAGCTGGGACTACAGGCGCCCACAACCGCGCCCGGCTAATTTTTTGTATTTTTAGTAGAGACGGGGTTTCACCGTGGTCTCGATCTCCTGACCTTGTGATCCGCCCGCCTCGGCCTCCCAAAGTGCTGGGATTACAGGCGTGAGCCACCGCGCCCGGCAGAAGTTCTTTCTAGAGGGCTCCCTCCGGTAGGGCCCAAAGGCAGCACTGCCCCAGGGAACGACTCCCAGGCCACGAAGTACAGAATCCTGCAGGCGCAGCGCTTGGCCGCCCTGAACGCAGTCCTGTGGGATGAGACCGGTGCCTGGTTTGACTACGACCTTGAGAACAAGAAGAACTGGGAGTTTTACCCATCCAACCTCACTCCACTCTGGGCCGGGTGTTTCTCTGACCCTGGCGTGGCGGACAAGGCTCTGAAATACCTGGAGGTGAGGGCACAGCAGGTGGTTCGGGTCCACTGCAGGCAGCACCGCCCCCTCCCGACCCTGAGCAGGACCTGCAGGGAAGGCCGCTTCCTCCGGCTGTGCCCCTTGTCTCAGCCTGCGGGTCCCGCGGAGCCACCGGGGGGCAGCTGTGAGCCGAGAAGAGAAGGGCCAGGAAGGGGACATCTGGCTTCCCGCCGGGCCCAGCGTCCTGGCTTCCAGTCCAGCCCCACCCACAGTCACGGGAATGTCTGGAACCTTCTAGGGCAGCCGGATCCTGATCTACCAATATGCCCCAGAATTGAATCCGAACCAACTTTGATGTCTACTCGCAAAAGTCAGCCATGTATGAGAAAGTGAGCTGGCCTGAGCCCTCCCCGCACCCCAGGGCGTCCCCGTGGTGAGGCAGGAGGGTCAGGCTTGGCAGGGCCCAGGGCCAGCGCAGCTGGGATGGTGGCGGCGCCCAGTGGCCACTCCTGGGCACTGCAGGGGTTGCTGGGCAGGCAGAGCGACTTCTCCCCACAAGGATCCCATTGTTTGTTGTCCCTGTGGCTGGGGGTGGGGTGGGGTGGGGTAGGGCAGTGCCTGACCTACGGCCCGCCCTCTTATTCCCAGTATGACATTAGCAATGGTGGACAGCCCAGTGGCAGAGGGGAGTATGAAGTTCAGGTGAGCAGGCCAGGGGCGGGCTGGCCGTCGCCCTACAGGGAACTCCTGGGCTCTGCTGCCCACGACCCCCACCCCAGGCCTCAGTGTGCTCACCTGCATGTCGGCCCAGGGGACGAGCTGACTGGTGCTTCCTGTACTGCTGGGGTTAGGCAGGGCCAGTGCCCCTGGGGAGAGAGCCCACAGCCCCCACCAAGGGTCTGGGGCTTCCCCAGAAACCGGGCCCCACTGCCCCGCCTCTCCCAGGAGGGCTTTGGCTGGACGAATCGCGTGGTGCTGATGCTGCTGGAACGCTATGGTGACCGGCTGACCTCAGGGGCCCAGCTGGCTTTCCTGGAGCCCCACTGCCTGGTGGCCGCCCTTCTGCCCAGCCTCCTGTTCAGCCTCCTGCCGTGGTGACAGCCCTCCCCTCCTCACCTGGCCCCAGCTCCTGTCCCATTAAACCTCTGCGCCAGCTCCTGTCCCTTTAAATCTCTGCACCAGTTCCTGTCTTCCCCTGCCTCTTCATGCCCTCCTACCTCCCAGCCTGTCCTCTGATCAGAGTGAAGTGGGGGGCAGGTTCATGACCTGGAGGTCATGGGTTGGGGCCTAGCTCCCTTCTGGAACCTTGAATAGGGTGGAAATCCTGCCCCGGGGGGAAGACCTATCCCTCCTACCTCAAGTACCCCAGCGCCAAGTCCCACACCTGCGGCCTTCCACTCACTTCTGTATTCCAAAGGCTTTATTGTTCTGCTGAAATGCTTACAAATACTGAAAACCCCCAGCCTGGGCCTACGCAACCAAGGGCTCAATGCTAGGAAGGAGAGCAGGGGAGGTGGGGCCCAAATAAATACATATAATTTATTTCTGCCCCTGATATTATTCCTTCAAAAGAGTCTGAATTTGAATGGATTGTCTCTAGATCTATTTATCCCCCAGGGCATCGTTAAAACAATTGTAAAATCAGCTGGCAATTAGTGGCTTTTAACTGCTGGATGTGCTCAGGGAAAGAGAGGAAGGGAGCCCTGCCAAGACCACTGTCACCCCAGAGTGGCTGTAGTCATCCCAAAAGCTGTGTCTTCCCTGAGGAGCAACCTCATGGGCTTGACAGAGAGGGTGGGAAATAGACCGGGAACATAATTCAGCCAGTCGCTCCCCAAATACACAAATGAACAATAATAGCACGCTCTGGGTAGAGTGGGGTGAGGTAGCCAGTAGCCAGCATTGCCACAATATGTTATCTAAAATGTTTGTTTTCCTACAAAAAGTTACGACACACACACACACAAACAGGAAAGTATGACACACACACACAGACACACACACACAAGCAGGCAAGAGAAATTGTCTTAGGAGTGACCATTAGGCTGGGCACGGTGGCTCACACCTGTAATCCCAGCACTTTGGGAGGCTGAAGTGGCTGGATCACCTGAGGTCAGGAGTTCGAGACCAGCCTGGCCAACATGGTGAAACCCTGTCTTCTACTAAAAATACAGAAATTAGGCGGGTGTGGTGGTGGGCGCCTGTAATCCCAGCTACTTGGGAGGCTAAGGCAGGAGAATCGCTTGAACCCAGGAGGCGGAGGTTGCAGTGACCTGAGATTACAACACTGCACTCCAGCCTGGGCAACAGAGCGATACGCCATCAAAAAAAAAAAAAAAAAAAAAAGTGACCACTATATACTAAAAAAAGAATATCAATAAACAGATGGAAAATATTAAAAAGGGCCAGGGGGTGTAGTGGCTCACCCCTGTGGTCCCAACATTTGTTAGGCTGAGGCGGGAGAATCACTTGAGCCCAGGAGTTCAAAACCAACCAAGGCAACACGGTGAGAACCCATCTCTACAAAAATAAAAAAATTAGCCAGATGTGGTGGTGCACACCTATAGTCCCAGCTACTCAGGATCCTGAGGTGAGATTGCTTAAGCCCAGGAGGTGGAGGCTGCAGTGAGCCGTGATTGTGCCACTGCATTCCAGCCTGGGCAACAGAGCAAGACCCTGTCTCAAAAATGGTAATAATAAAAAAATAAAAATTAAGAAAGGGCTGGGTGTGATGTCTCACACCTGCAATCCCAGTGCGTTGAGAGGCCAAGGCAAGAGGATCACTTGAGGACAGGATTTCAGGGCCAGCCTGGGCAACATGGTGAGCTGTGATTTTTAAAATTAGCCAGGCATTATGGCACATGCCGGTAGTCCCAGCTATTTGGGAGGACAAGGTGGAAGGATTGTTTGAGCCCAGAAGTTCAAGGTTACAACAGCTGTCATTGAGCTACTGCACTCCTGCATGGGTGACAGAGGAAAACTCTGTCTCTAGAAAATGAAATGAAGGCCGGGCGCGGTGGCTCAAGCCTGTAATCCTAGCACTTTGGGAGGCCGAGATGGGCGGATCACAAGGTCAGGAGATCGAGACCATCCTGTCTAGCCTGGTGAAACCCCGTCTCTACTAAAAAATACAAAAAACTAGCCGGGCGAGGTGGCAGGCGCCTGTAGTCCCAGCTACTCGGGAGGCTGAGGCAGGAGAATGGCGTGAATCCAAAAGGCGGAGCTTGCAGTGAGCTGAGATCCGGCCACTGCACTCCAGCCTGGGCGACAGAGCGAGACTCCGTCTCAAAAAAAAAAAGAAAATGAAATGAAAAGAAAATACAAAGAGAACCAGCCAGGCACGGTGGCTTGTGCCTATAATCTCAGCACTTTGGGAGGCCAAAGTGGGAGGATGACCTGAAGTCAGGAGTTCGAGACCAGTCTGACCAACATGGCGAAACCCTGTCTGTACTAAAAATACAAAAATTAGCCGGGCATGGTGGGGCATGCCTGTAATCCTAGCTACTGGGGAGGCTGAGGCAGGAGAATCGCTTGAATCCAGGAGGCAGAGGTTGCAGTGAGCCAAGACTGTGCCATTGCACTCCAGCCTGGGCGACAGACTGAGACTCAGTCTCAAAAACAAACAAACAAAAAGAACTAAATGGGGTTTCTTGTTTCTGGCCTAGGGTGTAAGGAGTGTGGCAATTGCCACTCCATCTTAACAACAAGTAAAAAGCTGAATAAACAACACCAACAACTCTTCTTAGATATGTCAGAGAATTAAGGTCACAGAGCTGCCCCCAAAACTGGAGACAGACAGGCAGATACAGAGAGTCACAACTTAACAGAGTAGACACCTCCACACTGGGTTTCTTTTACCCAATACTGGTTTGGTTTCAAGAAAAAACTATAAGTCATACTAAAAGGCAGAAAATACCATTTGAAGAGATAGAGCAAGTATCAGAACCAGACTCAACTATAGTGGGGATGTTGGATTTCCAGGCCGGAAATTTGAAACAACTATGATTAACATGCCAAGGGTGCTCACGGAAAAAGTAGACAACATACATGCAAGAGCAGATAAGTAATTTAAGCAGAGTGATGAAAATTCTAAGAAAAAACAAAGAGGAATTACAACGAGAAAAAAACACCAACGAAGTGCCTTTGATCAGCTCTTTAGTAGACTGGACGCAGCTGAGGAAAGAATCCATGAACTTCAGGATATGTCAGTAGAAACTTCGAAAACTCAAAAGCAAAAAGAGACAAGACTGAAACAGACAGAAGAGAATATCCAAAACTGTGGGACCATGACAAAAGGCATCACATATGCATTAATGGGAATACAGAGGAAGAAAGAGGGAACCAAAGAGATATTTGAAACAATAATGATGGAGAATTTCCCCAAATTTATGTCAGACACCAAACCACAGACCCAGGAAGCTCAGAAAATACTAAGACAGATGCCCCCCAAAAAGAAGAAAAAATCAACACCTAGGCATATTATATTCAAATTGCAGAAATTCAAAGATAAAAAGTCTTGAAAGAGGCCAGAGGAGTAAAAAAAACCTTACCTATAGAGGACCAAGGATAAAAATGACATCAGACTTCTTAGAAACCATGCAAAGAAGAAGAGAACCTTGTGAGATATTTAAAGCATTGACAGAGAAAAAGATCCCACCAACCCATAATCCCCAGAATCTGTATCCTGCAAAACCATCCTTCAAAAGTGATGGAGAGGCCAGCACAGTGGCTTATGCTTGTAATTCCAGCACTTTGGGAGGCTGAGGCAGGCAGTTTGCTTTGAGCTCAGGAATTTGAGACCAGCCTAGGCAACATAGTGAAACCTCGTCTCTACAAAAAAATACAAACTTTAGTGGTGGCACACACCTGTGGTCCCAGCTACTTGGGGGGCTGAGGCTGGAGGAGCACTGGAACCTGAGAGGCAGAGATTGCAGTGAGCCGAGATCGCACCACTGCACTCCAGCCTGGGTGACAGAGCAAGACTCTGTCTTAAAAAAAAAAAGAAAGAAAGAAAGAAAAGAAAAGAAAAAGAAAAAAGAAAAAAAAAATGGAGAAACGAGAACTTTCACAAGCCAACAAAAATTGAGAGAATCTGTAGTCCTGAAGACGCAAGAAGTATCCAAAAAAAAAAAACTTCTTCAGAGAAAAGAAAGATGACATGTTAGAAACTTTGAACTACATAAACAAGGGAAGAGCTTTAGAGAAGGAATAAGTAAAGGTAAAATAAAAGCTTCTACTTTTCTTATCCTTAGTTAATCTAACAGATAATGGTTTGTTCAAAATAAAACAGGGCATTTATCCAAAATGCTTGATACCAGAAGTATTTTGGATTTCGGATTTTTTTAAAAAAAATTTTGAAATATTTGCAATATACTTACTGGTTCAAAATCCCAAATCTGATCATCCAAAATCTGAAATGCTTCAGTGAGCATTTCCTTTGATCATTATGTCTGTACTCAAAAAGTTTTGGATTTTGGAGCATTTCAGATCTTGGGCTATCAGATTTTGGGTGCTCAATCTGTAATAGCAACTGTGTATTCAATAATTATAGTTTATGGATAAGGGAACTGAATGACAGCAATGATAAAAGGGACAGGAGGAGGAAGTTAAGACTACTTTGTTGGCCGGGCGCGGTGGCTCAAGCCTGTAATCCCAGCACTTTGGGAGGCCGAGACAGGCGGATCACGAGGTCAGGAGATCGAGACCATCCTGCTGAACACGGTGAAACCCCGTCTCTACTAAAAAATACAAAAAAACTAGTCGGGCGAGGTGGCGGGCGCCTGTAGTCCCAGCTACTCGGGAGGCTGAGGCAGGAGAATGGCATAAACCCGGGAGGCGGAGCTTGCAGTGAGCTGAGATCTGGCCACTGCACTCCAGCCTGGGCGACAGAGCCAGACTCCATCTCAAAAAAAAAAAAAAAAGACTACTTTGTTGTCATAAGGTACTCGCACTACCGTGAAACAGTGTTATTTGAGTAGACTTGGTTAGTTGTAAATGTATACTAAAGAAAGAACTGCTGGAGGCCGGGTGCGGTGGCTCACACCTGTAATCCCAGCGCTTTGGGAGGCCGAGGTGGGTGGATCACGAGGTCAGGAGTTTGAGAACAGCCTGGCTAATATGGTGAAACCCCATCTCTACTAAAAATACAAAAATGAGCTGGGTGTGGTGGCATGCGCCTGTAGTCCCAGCTACTCAGGGGGCTGAGGCAGGAGAATCACTTGAACCCAGGAGGCAGAGGTTGCAGTGAGCTGGAATCATGCCACTGCACTCCTGGTGTGACAGAGTGAGATTTCGTCTCAAAACAAAACAAAACAAAAAACACTACTGGCCAGGCATGGTGGCTCACACCTGTAATCCCAGTGCTTTGGGAGGCTTAGGCGGGAAGATTAATTGAGCCCAGGAGTTTGAGACCAGCCTGGGCAACACAGTGAGGAGTTCCCCCAGAACAAAGCCAGTTTGCATATTGGGCAGAAGATGTGAATCACTATAAACATTGCTGAAAAGAAGACATACAAATGGCAAACAGGTATATGAAAAGGTGGGCTACATAACCGATCATCAGAGACATGCAGATCAAAACTACAATGAGATATTATCTCATTCCAGTTAAAATGGCTTTTATCCAAAAGACAGGCAATAACAAATACTGGTGAGGATGTGGAGAAAAGGAACCCTCATATACTGTTGGTGAGAATGTAAATTAGTACAATCACTGTAGAGTTGTGTGTTTTTTTAAAAAGAACATTGGCTGGGCACGTTGGCTCATGCCTGTAATCCTAGCACTTTGGGAGGACCAGGTGGGTGGATTGCCTGAGCTCAGGAGTTCAAGACCACCCTGGGTAACATGGTGAAACCCCGTCTCTACTAAAATATGAAAAATTAGCCTGGTGTGATGGCAGGCACGTGTAAGCCCAGCTACTCAGGAGGCAAAGGTTGCAGTGAGCTGAGTGACCAAAAAGTTGGTCCTATGAAAAGATCATTAAAATTGACAGAGAAGACACACAAAAAATCAGAATGAGTGCAGAGGCATTACTATTGACCTTACAAAATTGGAAATAGAATACTATAAACAAGTATATACCAACAAATTAGATAACCTAGATGAAACAGAAAAATTCCTAGAAACAGAAATTATACAAACTGATGCAAGAAGTAGAAAGTCTCAATAGGCGTAACAAGTAAAGAGATGACAATAAAAAACCTTGCAATAAAAAAAGATGTTTGGGCCAGGCGCAGTGACTCCCGCCTGTAATCCTAGCACTTTAGGAAGACCAAGGCAGGTGGATCACCTGAGGCCAGGAGTTCAAGACTAGCCTGGCCAACATGGTGAAACCCCGTCTCTACTAAAAATACAAAAAGTAACTGGGTGTGGTGGTGGGCACCTATAATCCCAGCTACTTAGGAGGCTGAGGCAGGAGAATCGCTTGAACCTGGGAGGCAGAGGTTGCAGTGAGCTGGAATCATGCCACTGCACCCCAGCCTGGGCAACAGAGTGAGGTTCCATCTCAAAAAAAAAAAAAAAGTTTAATTTTATATGTCAACATGGCTAGGCAAAGGTATCCAGATAGTTGAGCAAGCATTATTCTAGATGTTTCTGTGAAGATATGTTTTAGATGAAAATAACATTTAAATCTGTAGACTCTGAGTAAAGCAGACTACCCTCCCTAACGTGGATGGGCATTATCCAATCAGTTGAAGACTAATTTGAAAAAGACTGACCTCCCCAGAAGAAGAGGGAATTCTCCCAGCATGCTGCCTTCGGACTTGAACTGCAGCTTCTTCCCTGTTTCTCCAGCCTGCCGGCCTACCCTAGAGATTTTGGACTTGCCAGCTACCTCTCAAACTCTCTCTCTCTGCTCCCATCCCCCACATATATATTGTTTCTGCCTAATATGGTCCAGGACCAGATGGCTTCATTGGTACATTCTACCAAACATTTAAAGAAGAATTAACATTAATCTTTCTCAAACACTTCTACAAATAGAAGAGGGGTATACTTCCTAACTCATGCTATGAGGCTAACATTACCCTGATATCAAAGCCAGATAAAGACAACACAAGAGGGCTGGGCATGGTGGCTCACACTTGGGGAGGAACACTTGGGGAGGCCAAGGCGGGAGGATCAGTTGAGGCCAGGAGTTCAAGACCAGCCTGGGCGACGCAGTCAGATGTGGTCTCTAAGAAAACATTTAAAAGTTACGCAGGCGCGGTGGCGTGCACCTGTAGTCCTGGCCACGCAGAAGGTTGAGGCCAGATGATCACTTGAGCCCCAGGAGATCGAGGTTGCGGTGAGCTGTGTTCATGCCACTGTCTTCCAGCCTGGGTGATGGAGCAAGACTGTGTGTCCAAAAAAAAAAAAAAAATCACAAAAAAAAATTACAGGGGGCGGTGGTCAGGTAAAGATTGGAGGGAGACGGATCACGAGCAGAAAGACATCCTGTTAAACGGTGAACCCGTCTCTAAAAAAAAAAAAAAAACTAGCCGAGGGGCGGACGTGTAGTCCAGCACGGGGTGGAGGAGGAGAATGCGTGAACCGGAGGCGAGCTTGCAGTGAGCTGAGATCCCACTGCATCCAGCTGGTGACAGGCAATCCGTCTCAAAAAAAAAAAAAAAAAAAAAAAAAAAAAAAAAAATTACAGTCAATTATCCTATATACATATTGATGCAAAATTCCTCAAAAAAATACTCTCAAACAAAAACCAACAGTTTATTAAAAGGATTAGACATCATGACCAAGTGAGATTTATCCAAAGAATCCAAGGGTGGTGGTTGCACAGCGTTGTGAATGTAATAAAAGGAAATTGAATTGTACACTTAAAAATTGTTGGCTGGGTGCGGTGGTTCACGCCTGTAATCCCAGCACTTTGGGAGGCCAAGGCAGGCGGATCACGAGGTCAGGAGCTTGAGACCATCCTGGCTAACATGGTGAAACCCTGTCTTTACTAAAAATACAAAAAAAAAAAAAAAAAAAAAAAAGCTGGGCATGGTGGCGGGCGCCTGTAGTCAGATGCCCGGGAGGCTGAGGCAGAAGAATGGCGTGAACCCGGGAGGCGGAGCTTGCAGTGAGCAGAGCTTGCACCACTGCACTCCAGCCTGGGTGACAGAGCGAGACTCCATCTCAGGAAAAAAAAAAAAAATTGTTGACCAGGCATGGTGGCTCACATCTATAATCCCAATACATTGGGAGGATGAGGCAGGAGGATTGCTCTGGCTCAGGAGTTCCAGACTAGCCTGGACAACATAGGGAGACCCAATTTCTACAAAAAAAAAAAGTATTTTTAATTAAAAAATTAGTTGGGTGTGGTGACATGTGCCTGTGGTCCCAGCTACTCAGGAGGCTGAGGTGGGAGAATCCCTTGAACCTGAGAGATCAAGGCTGCAGTGAGCTGTGATGGAACCACTGCACTCCAGCCTGGGCGACAGAGCGAGACCCTGTCTCAAAAAACAAAACAAACAAAAAACCAATGCCAGCTGCCCACATTACTGGGTGGAGCTATCTGAACCTTTACTAGTTCAGAGCGGTGCCTGATTCATGAGTCATTTCTTTGCTTGAATAAATGGTTAAATTTAATTTGTCTAAGGTTTTTCTTTTTAACAGTGGCAAACACTGCTCAGGTGCCACAACTGACATCCTTAACAGCAAACCTAAGTCCTTCAGGAGAGGTCACGCCAATCACTAAACTCCATGTGCCTTGCCCACCCCCTGTCCCCTGTCCCTTCAGCTCACCTTCCATATGTTGAGGGGATGAGCCTCTAAAGCAACCGAATCTGCTTTTTTTTTTTTTTTTTTTTGACAGAGTCTTTCTCTGTCACCCAGGCTGGAGTGCAGTGGCACAATCTTAGCTCACTACAACCTCCGCCTCCTGGGTTCAAGCGATTCTCCCGCCTCAGCCTCCTGAGGAGCTGGGATTACAGGTGCCCGCCAACAAGCCCAGCTAATTTTTGTACTTTTGTATTTTTGTAGAGACGGGATTTCACCATGTTGACCTCAGGTGATCTGCCCACCTCAGCCTCCCAAAGTGCTGGGATTACAGGCGTGAGCCACTGCTCCCTCCCGGTGAGAATCTGCTTCTTAAGCTCACAAACTTCTCTGCTAGCTCCACTTTGGGGAATTACAAGGAATTACATTCCTTGGCTTGGCAAAGACATTTCCAGACTGGTGCCAACATGTTCCTGCAGCCTATCTCAAAACCCTTCCCTGCATGAGCACCAAGTTCTCTGCAGCTAGGCTGAGGGGTTTGCTGTTCTCTTTGTATGCTCTGCGTACATTGTAGTGGTCTCCAGCCCATTCCCTTGGCAAACTCCTATGTGATCATCAAGACTCATTAGGACAGGCGTGGTAGCTCAGGCCTGTAATCCCAGCACTTTGGGAGGACAAGGCGAGTGGATCATGAGGTCAAGAGATTGAGACAATGCTGGCCAACACGGTGAAACCCTGTCTCTACTAAAAATACAAAAATTAAATGGACGTGATGGCATGAGCCTGTAGTCCCAGCTATTTGGGAGGCTGAGGCAAGAGAATCGCTCGAACCCGGCAGGCAGAGGTGGCAGTGAGCCGAGATCATGCCACTGTACTCCAGCCTGACGACAGAGTGAGACTCAGTCTCAAAAAAAAAAAAAAGACTCATTACAAAGTCACACTATGGTGGGTCTCCCTTAGTTCTCCCCAGACAGAATGGCTCTACTGTCCTGTGCTCCTGCCATATCTCTTGTAGACAACAGTGAGAGTCCTTGAATTTCATACCACACCAGGGACAGGATCTTGAGCCATTCCATTTGAAATGTTAAGGGAAATGGTAACTCTCTGAAGTGGGTGGTCTTGGGGCCACCCAAGGAACTTGCATCCAGGTTACAGGTGTGTGGCCTCGACTGTGTCTCTGGCCTTCGGGTGCCCATTCCCCACCGCCATCCCCATACTCTGAGGGAAGGGCCTGAGCCATTGGCAGCAGCTGAGACAGTTAAATAGAAGAAGCAAAGTAGAAGCAGGGGAGGTGACCACTGTGCCCTGAGAGCAGGAGGGGCGAGCAGGCTGCACACAGACCAAGCACACGTCCCTCAGGTGGCCACGCCTCGAAGGCTGGACTTCGGCCGACTTGGACAGGCAGGCGAGTCAGGCTGTGCCCAGCAAGCCGAGGGTGCCTGGGCTTGCTCATTCATCACAGTCACAGCCACCATGCCAGGGAGGACCTGGAAGCTGTGCCTGCTACTGCTGCTGGGGCTGGGACTGGGGTCCCAGGAGGCCCTACCCCCACCCTGTGAGAGGTAGGGTGTGGGGAAGGCAGCGGGAGAGGATGGCAATAAGAGGGAGGCTGGGATGAGATCTCAAGCTCTGGGGTCAGTACTTCAGAAGGAAAAGAAGAGATTATAAAGGAAGGAAAGAGTAGGGAAGAGAAGAAAATCAGGATTCCTGTGTAGCAGGCTCTATGCTGGGCACTGCACCTGCAGTCCTTTTTTTTGTTTTTGTTTGTTTGGGTTTTTTGTTAGAGTCTTGCTCTGTCGTCCAGGTGAAGTACAGTGGCACCATTCCACTCACTGCAGCCTAGACCTCCCAGGTTTGAGATTCTTTTTTTTTTTTTTTTTTTTTTTTTGTTGAGACAGAGTCTGGCTCTGTCGCCCAGGCTGGAGTGCAGTGGCCGGATCTCAGCTCACTGCAAGCTCCGCCTCCCGGGTTTACGCCATTCTCCTGCCTCAGCCTCCCAAGTAGCTGGGACTACAGGCACCCGCCACCTCGCCCGGCTAGTTTTTGTATTTTTTTTTTAGTAGAGACGGGGTTTCACCGTGTTAGCCAGGATGGTCTCGATCTCCTGACCTCGTGATCCGCCCATCTCGGCCTCCCAAAGTGCTGGGATTACAGGCTTGAGCCACCGCGCCCGGCCAGGTTTGAGATTCTTGTGCCTCAGCCTCCTGAGTAGCTGGGATCACAGGCATGCACCACCACGTCCGGCCTGTCATTGACTTTTACCAAAATTTTCCACCTTTGGAAGGGAATTAGTCTTGGTGACTGTGCTGGGAATACAAGCGTGAGCCACTGCCCCCTGCCAGGACCTGCAGTCCTCATACCAGATGCAGCTGCCAGAGCCTGGCCTGAGGTCTAACACCCTGTTGGCCTGACCCACCCTCCCTCCCTCTCCTCCTGCAAGCTGCCCCTTGAACTGTGCAGGCCTCTTCCCAGGATTGTTCTAGCAAACTTTCTGCTCCAGCTTCCTAGCCTGAGTGTGAGAGGCGGCCTAAGGGCCTGACCATAGCACCCGGGCTTAAGCCCTGACCCTAATACTCTCCTTGTGACCCAGGGCAGGTCAAAGCTCTTTCCTAACCCTGAGTTTCCATCACCAGGGACAGAGATGAGTGACCCTGTCCTGCCTCCTGGACTCAGGCAAAGTCTACCCTTCATTACTCATGGATTTATGGAGCTGTGGCCACATCAACCACTTTACCAGCTCCTGCAAGAACAATAATAATAGAAGCAAAACAGCTGGGCATGCTGACTCACGCCTGTAATCCCAGCACTTTGGGAGGCTGAGGTAGCGGGGGGATCATCTGAGGTCAGGAGTTCGAGACCAGCCTGACCAACATGGTGAAACCCCATCTCTACTAAAAATACAAAATTAGCCGGGCGTGGTGGCACACACCTGTAATCCCAGCTACTCAGGAGGCTGAGGCAGGAGAATCACTTGAACTTGGAAAGTGGAGGTTGCAGTGAGCCAAGATCGTGCCATTATACTCCAGTCTGGGCAACGAGAGTGAAACTCTGTCTCTAATAATAATAATAATAATAATAATAAAAGCAAAACAGTAACAGAAGCACAGTTTGAAGTAGAGCGAAGTTAGGACCCGCTGGTGCAGGTGAGCGGAGGGTGTGTTAGAGAGGACGGGGAGGAAAGGTGTCTCTGAGGAGGTGATGTGTGAGCAGAACTGTGGTAAGAACCATCGTTGAGCTGACCTGGGAGAAGACAGTCTAGGCGTGGAAAGGGCCGTGCAGAGGCCCTGAGGTGCTGTTCAGGGATTGGGAAGAAGGCCTGTGTGATTGGGGCAGAGTGGGAACAGGTCTGGGGAGAGCGGGGCTCCAGGCAACAAAGTTTGGGCTTGGGCTCCAGTGGTAGGACTACAGTCAGAGACAAGGGATTCAACAGGGGGTGCGTGTTAAGGGCGAGTTGACGGTGCTTGCCCATGACAATTGTGGAGTATAAAGGGGAAAAGTGTACCTGGGAGAGTTAATAGGTTTTGTCCTGTGCGATTGTAATGACGACTTCAGAGAGACTGGGTGGTCCAGTGTTTTGTCAAGCATTAGGCTGTTTGCCAAACGTAGGGGAAGATGACTTTATTGGTGTTCCCTAAGACCAACCTCAGGCTGGTGATTCACTAATACTTCCAAACGGTTATACCATGATTATGGTTTCGTTCTTTTTTCTTTTTTTGAGATGGACTCTCGCTCTGTCTCCAGGTTGGAGTGCAGTGGCGCAATCTCGGCTCACTGCAATCTCCACCTTCTGGGTTCAAGCAATTCTCCTGCCTCAGCCTCCCCAGTCGCTGGGATTACAGGTGCCTGCCACCAGGCCTGGCTAATTTTTGTATTTTTAGTAGAGACAGGGGTGTTGCCATGTTGGCGTGATCTGCCTGCCTCAGCCTCCCAAAGTGCTGGGATTACAGGAGTGAGCCACCGTGCCCGGCCTTGATTATGGTTTCTTACAGTGAAAGGATACATGTTAAAAGCCATCGGAGGTGAAATATTCTAGGGCCGAGTCCAGGAGAAAATAAGCTCAATCTTCCAGTTTTTCCTCTCCCAATGGATTTATATGGACAGTACTTGATTTTTCCAGCAATAACATGGGACAGCACGCATGAAGTATTGCCAACCACAAAATCTCACCTGAGTCTTGGTGTCCAGTGTTTTTATTGGAGGTCAGTGATGAAAGCATGGACTACTTGTGTGGCTGACCTCAGTTACTCACTCTCCAGGTCTTCAGAGGTCAAACTGATACTGGGTGGCCAAAGGCCCCTGCCAGAAATCACATTATTAGTATCATATATCTGGCATGGCCCAAGGTCCCAGAAAAACAAAGACTTATCAGGCAGCATATTTCAGTAATTTAAATCTTATCTCTCAGGGCTGGTCAAAGGCCAGAACTTTCTCTGAAACGTGCAGGGTTTGAACACAGCAGACCTGCTGAGTCAATCCTTTCATGCACAAGCCACTTCTTGCATAATGAAGAATTTGTTTCGTCTTTTTTTTTTTTTTTTTTTTTGAGACGGAGTCTTGCTCTGTTGCCCAGGCTGGAGTGCAGTGGCCGGATCTCAGCTCACTGCAAGCTCCGCCTCCCGGGTTCAGGCCATTCTCCTGCCTCAGCCTCCTGAGTAGCTGGGACTACAGGCGCCCGCCGCCTCACCCGGCTAGTTTTTTGTATTTTTTAGTAGAGAAGGGGTTTCACCGTTTTAGCCAGGATGGTCTCGATCTCCTGACCTCGTGATCCGCCCGTCTCGGCCTCCCAAAGTGCTAGGATTACAGGCTTGAGCCACCGCGCCCGGCCTGTTTCGTCTTTGTCTTGGGTTCCTCCAAGGTCACTTCTAAGCTCTTGGAATCTCCCAAGTGATAGGAATATCTGTTATTCCTAGTGGTCCCTGATTACTGTTTTTTGTTTTTGTTTTGTTTTGTTTTGAGATGGAATCTAGCTCTGTTGCCCAGGCTGGAGTGCAGTGGCAAGATGTTGGCTCACTGCAATCTCTGCCCTCAGGGTTCAAGCGATTCTCCTGCCTCAGCCTCCCAAGTAGCTGGGACTATAGGCATTCACCACTATGCCTGGCTAATTTTTGTATTTTTAGTAGAGACTGGGTTTCACCATGTTGACCAGGCTGGTCTTAAACTCCTGACCTCAAGCGATCCACCCACCTCAGCCTCCCAAAGTGCTGGGATTACAGGCATGAGCCACTGCACCTGGCCTGATTTTTTGCCTGTCTCAACAAACAAAAAAATAAAACAAAAAAAATACCAAGTCCTGGTTGGTGAACACATTGATGAGCCAGGAGGGGAAACGTCCTGGTTCCATGGGGAAAGGACACAGAAGCTGTTCATTCAGGGCCCCCCTAGACCTTGCCCCATGTGTCTCTTCATTTGGCTGATCCTGGCTTATATTCTTGTAATAAAACTACAGCCCTAAGCATAACCGTAAGCTTTTCTGAGTCCTGTGAGTTCTACCAAATTATCAAATCTGAAAGGGTTATGGGAACCCCTACATTTGTAGCCTTTTGGTAAGAAGTGCAGGTGGCCTGGGGACCCCTGAACTTGTGGCTGGTGTCAGACGTGAGGCCGTCTCACTCAGGACTGTGCCCTTAACCTGAGTGTGGATTCCACACTAACTCCCGATGGTTAGCACCAGGATTAAATTGCAGTATTGCAGTTGGTGTCAGAAAATGTGGATTCACTAGAATGACCCTGACTCACTGAAACATGTGGGTTGGGAAAAGAAAAGATGAAAGGGCAGGGGATGAGAAATCTTTCATTCTTGAGTGGCTACATGGTCACTCATGGTGTGAAGAACAGTCATGCTGCAATCAGTTACTGGAGGTAAAAGTTACCAATGGAACTTAGAGATGATTGATCTCTAACTTTTGGGGAGTTGGCCCATGTGCATAGGAAAATGTATACCACTAAGAAGAAAAGCAAATATACAATCCCTATAGATTTTTATCTGTAATAGTCAAACTGAAAGTAAAAGATGGGCCATGCTTAGATTCTGGTTGGTGGAATTACAACCTCCAGTCCTGCACTGTGGTACCAAAAGCACCTGCTGAAGCCCTGATGGGCACTGCAATGAGATTGAGAGAATATAAAAATGTGGCCAGGTGCAGTGGCTCACACCTATAATCCCAGCACTTTCGGAGGCAGAGGTGGGCAGATCATCTGAGATCAGGAGTTCAAGACCAGCCTGACCAACATGGAGAAATCCTGTCTCTACTAAAAATACAAAATTAGCCGGGCATGGTGGTGTGCACCTGTAATCCCAGCTACTCGGGAGGCTGAGGCAGGAGAATCACTTGAACCCAGGAGGAGGAGGTTGCAGTGAGCTGAGATCGCACCATTACACTCCAGCTTGGGCAACAAGAGTGAAACTCCATTTCAAAACCAAAACAAGGCCGGGCGCGGTGGCTCAAGCCTGTAATCCCAGCACTTTGGGAGGCCGAGACCGGTGGATCACGAGGTCAGGAGATCGAGACCATCCTGGCTAAGCCAGTGAAACCCCATCTCTACTAAAAAATACAAAAAACTAGCCGGGCGAGGTGGCGGGCGCCTGTAGTCCCAGCTACTCGGGAGGCTGAGGCAGGAGAATGGCGTGAACCCGGGAGGCAGAGCTTGCAGTGAGCTGAGATCCGGCCACTGCACTCCAGCCTGGGCGACAGACCGAGACTCCGTCTCAAAAAAAAAAAAAAAACAAAAAACAAAACAAAACCAAAACAAAACAAAACAAAAAACTGGTATGCGCTTGAACAGGTTTTATGTGGAGTGTTGCATCTCTTCTACCTGAATGTATTACAGGGATGGATATTGTATCTGACCAGGAAACATTTAGACTACCTAGTATTGTAAAACAGAAGGCATGGACATCCACTCATCAAGCAATATTGATTAGACATTCCAAATGGGAACCAATAACATTGCCCAGCTCCACAGAGATTGTTAGCCTTCTCTGGAGCATAGACTGGACTTTATAGCAAAGGTCTTAGAGCACCTCCTGGCACGAGTGCTGGGACTTTGGACTAGAGAATTTCCGTGTGAGAGGTAATTATTGGCTCGCTATCAGACATTATTTGAAATTGCCCCTATGACTGAAGGATGTAAGATAATCTTGAAACCTGAAATACCTATAATATCTTAGGTGATGTTGGAGAAATGCTCTCAGAGAGTGGGCAGGGCCTAGAAGAGTTCCATAATGAAGTGGAAATGACTGGATCAGGAATAAGCTCATGGGGGAATGCAGAGTTATTCAGTGTATTCAAGAGCAGAGAGATTCTCTTCCCCTAAGACTGACTTTGGACCCACTCATTAGATTCTATTGCCAATTGGACAGTGCCCTATTGACAGCTCTCAATTGACCAACAAAGAGCTATTTGGCTTATGGATGGCAGTCCCAAGGTGAATGAACAGCCTACTGTTTGGAAGGTTGTCACTCTGATCAAAGAAGGCAAGAACAAATCAGCTCTGTGGGCTGAATTGCATACTGTTTAGGTTTTTACTAACTCTTGGACAGTGGCCAATGGCCTGGCCATATGGTCAGGCAGAAGGACAATGGGAACCTTGTCTATATGGAAATCACAACAGGAATTTTAGGAGTGCATTAAAGCAGGTTATGTTGATGTCCATCAAAGAACCCCTTTCCAGGATCAAAAGGGAACTGGGGCAACAAGCAGGCATCCCTGTGTGCTCGCTTGAGGTGGCCACCTGTGTTCATGAAATAAATGGACATTGCAGGGCAGCAGCCATGCAGAGAAGGGCTGAATTTAGACTTAGTCCTCTTGTTCCCGCCGAGGCACAAAATGCCAGTAAGTACTTTTCTGTCTGCCAAAAAGAGAAAGACTGCACACGGCTGTGGGAAGATGACCTTGGAGGGAAGGCCCTGCACATACCTGGCAAGATGGACTGATTCTGGTAGGCCTGGAGGGCTACAAATGGGTCCTGACAAGAGTAGACACTGATTCTGGACTGGAGTTTGCATGGCCAGTGGTAGATGCAAATGCTCAAAATACTGACACTGTAAAAGGGTCAGAACAAAAGATACTCCACCAATTTGAACCATTGAGTTATATTTCTTCAGATCAAGAAACATTTTCATCTTCAGAGGAGTGGTTCCATAGAGAATTGGGATGGGCAGTTGAAGCATGTGCTATCTAAAACAGCAGGGAATAAGGGTATGAAAGGCTGGCTTACGTGCCTTCACAAGTATGTGCTCACACTCAGCATAAGGGGGCTCAAGGGTTTGTCCCTATTAGATTCTTCTGCTTTTCTGGAAGTTAAAGGGAAGAGGGACTGGGGGACGATGACTAGCAATTCTTCCCATGTGGTATGACTATACCGTTTTCTTTCTTCCCCACATTAACTAAACTTTCTTTTTCCAGATGATTCAGTGGTTCCCGTAAATCCCAGTGGTCCCAGGACTGCAGATACATAGGATAAGAGTAGTTTACACACCACAGTTCTAGTGTTATGATATTCTGTGTTTTTTCTGTGTGCTTACTATTAACAGTGAGTTTTGTATCTTCAGGTGATTTCTTTTTTTTTTTTGAGATGGAATCTCACTCTGTCACCCAGGCTGGAGTGCAGTGGTGCGATATCAGCTTACTGCAACATCTATTTCCTGGGTTCAAGCAATTCTCATGCCTCAGTCTCCCAAGTAGCTGGGATTACAGGCATGCGCCACCATGTCCCGCTAATTTTTTGTATTTTTAGTAGAGATGGGGTTTCACCATGTTGGCCACGCTGGTCTCGAACACCTGACCTCAAGTGACCTGCCTCAGCCTCCCAAAGTGCTGGGATTACAGGCCTGAGCCACTGAACCCAGCGATCATTAACTTTTTTTTTTTTTTTTTTTTCCTGAGACAGTGTCTCACTCTGTTGCCCAGGCTGGAGTGCAGTGGTGAGATCTCAGCTCACTGCAACCTCCACCTCCCTGGTTCAAGCGATTCTCCCACTTCAGCCTCCTGAGTACCTGGGACTACAGGTGTGTGCCACCACACCTGGCTAATTTTTTTGTATTTTGTGGTAGAGACAGGATTTCACCATGTTGGTCAGGCTGGTCTCAGACTCCTCAAGTGATCTTTCTACGTCGGCCTCCCAAAATGCTGGGATTACAGGCATGAGCCATTGTGCCCTGCCCAGGTGATTTCTTTTTTTTTTTTTTTTTTTTTTTGAGACGGAGTCTCGCTCTGTAGCCCAGGCTGGAGTGCAGTGGCCGGATCTCAGCTCACTGCAAGCTCCGCCTCCCGGGTTCACGCCATTCTCCGGCCTCA